CAGGCCATGTGGTCGAATTTGGCTCATGAAATGACTGCGGAGTTTCGTGGTCTTTGTGCTGAAGAGGTATAAGGGTAACAATTCACATTCCGACAATTAATTTAATTTGGTAGAAGCTTATGTGAAAAATCGTGCAATTCACCTACTAGGATACAATTTGTTTTCTTATGTTTTTCTTTGTAAAACATGAATCTCAGGCTTATTTACAGCAAGAACTGGAAAAATTACATGACCTTAGAAACAAAGTGAAGTTGGAAGGGGAACATTGGGATGACCTTGTTTCTAGTTCGAGTCAGAATTCCCATTTAGTATCAAAAGCTACCCGTCTGTGGGAGTCTATATTAGCCCGTAAAAGTGAGTACAAACTTGTGGTCCTTTATAAATTTATTAGGTTTCTATGTATTATCAAATAATGTCATGTGATCACACCTTATATGTTTATGTAGTTATTAGAGATCTGATTAGATATGTACCCAGTTTGATGAATTCAATTAAATCTCCATTTTTGTACAGGTCAACATGAAGTTCTTGCTTCAGGCCCTATTGAGGATTTAATAGCTCACAGGGAGCATAGGTAATCTACCATTAAATATCATTTTAACATCACTTGAAACCCTTCACCTACATACTTTTGCATGCAATGGTTCTAGGTACCGCATCTCTGGATCGTCTTTGCTTGCAGCTATGGATCAGAGTTCTCAGGTTCCTTATGGAGATGTCTTATCTGTCCAGTCCGGTGACTTTACTCCAACACATGCGGATGGCAAAGAACAAAATGATGGAGCAGATTCATCCCATTCACAAGTAAACGATGAAGCACTTCATCGAGCAGATGAAAGAAGTGCAAGAGTCCATCCAACCGTTGACGTGGCAGAAATTATCAGGCGTTGGACGCATGCTTTACAGCGTATCCATAAACAATCACTTCACATGGTATGCTCATTTGTATATGTTCATGAGAATGTTGGATACAAGTTAGAAAAACGTAGTGAATTGGTGTTATGCAATGTTCATTTGTAGGCAAAGGCTAATGAGGGAGAGGGTCCAGAAATTTTAAGAAGTGCACAGGATGGCAGTTCAAGTGGCCATGCTGAGTCTTTAGCTGCAACTCTTGCTGAACATCAGCAACACTTGATTAGCTTTCAGGTAATACTTTTGCTTTAGCTAAAAGTACTGGTTATTACAAATTTACATATGAAGTTATATGATGAAGGAACCAATGCGTGAGGTAACCGCAATGTGACTGTAAAAGATGGTCAATGCAAAGAGATTGGCAGGCATCGAGCCTAAACTTTAAATGGAATTATGCATTCAAGTTTTGAAATCTGGCCATAATTCTTCGCTTTTGTGAAAGTGGAATCAGCTTATTTAGTTTGAATTATTGGAATTTGCATTAGAGTCAATTGGTTTCTAATTTCTTCAAATACTTTTTGAGTCATCCCGAATATATATGTTATTTGAGTAGTCTTTCGTTTAAGAGGATCAATTAATACTCTGATATTCACCATGCTGATATTCCATCATGCATGAAGGATTTCAAGTTGAGCTTCTTTTGGTAGGAAGTTGTTGTAATATGGGATAGTGCATTTAAAATTGCTTGGAATTCTGCAACTGAATAGTCATCATATAACAGTCAATAATGAAAGTGAGATTATTTGTCCATATGCCTTTCTTTAGTCCCCTTCATCTCTCGTGCTGTTATGACTCATGACGCTATGCTGAGATCTGAATTCATAACTTCTGTAGGTTCTCATTAACCAACTGAAGGAAGTTGCTCCAGCAATACAAAAGTCAATATCAGAATGTACAGATAAAGTAGATAGCATTTCATCTAGTCTGCCTCCGATGACCAAACAACCTGGTCGGTCAACTTCACCTATTCAAGCACAGAGCAGTGGAAGGACATTGGTAATTTTGAACCTATTTCATGCAAACCTTGTGCCTACTAAATCATGTCTAGAATTGAATTATTGCAGTGTAGAATTCATTTTACCTGTTTTTGTTTCCTTTGGAACAATTCAGGAAAGCAACAGTGATGATGTGGCTGAGGTGACTTCAAAATTGTCTACCTTTCAGCTCGAAAAGGTGTCATCCAGCCCTGCTTTAAAGCTCCCACAGTTGTTTAACTTGACTTCTAATTCTTCTGGGAAAGGTGCAAATATGCATAAGCGCCCTGCTTCAGTTGCTCAATCAAACCAAATAGAGAACTTTCCTGAAAGGAAGTCTGTGGAGCAGCCTCTATCAAATAATCACATAGATAATCTACCACAAGGTCTGTTTTCTGTGCCAGGTTCCTCAAATTCTCATTGTGTTATAAGCGTGTCCGCTTGCCCAAGGCATTTCATTTTATATCCGGATAATGGATGGTTGAACAGCTTTGTTGTAAAGGTTTTTTATTTTTAGTTTAATGTTATGCAGACAGTGACAATTATTATGTCCAGAATCTAAAGAGATCTGTTAGAGAAGCTGCTCTGTCACAGAATTCCTTAAGTTTCGAATCATCACGAGGCAGCCATTCTGATGAAAGCTCTGAGCATTTCTTTTTACCACTTTCATCATCTGGGTTTTCTCGTCTAGGCCAAGAATCGAAGGGGGCTTCATTAAGGAGTAAAAGGTTTCCAGCTCAGACGGAGGCTTCCTTTCATGAAAATTGTGCTCCTGATGGTAATGTGGGGAACAAGTATGCAGAATTATCTGAAGTGTTGAATGATTTAGATTCACTTGATGATTTTGACCAAGTAAATGGGTTTCTTTCCGCTGCTGGTTCAAACTGTGCTGTTTCGGACACACAGAGATCATTTTATGACTTTGAGGAAGCTCGGGAGCAGGTTTTCTCACCTCCTTTGCTAATGGACTCATCACTATTAGCCGATTATGAAGACTTACTTGGTATGTTGCTCTGGTCACCAACTAGGTCCGTTATATTGGCTTGTATATGTAGATGTTATTATCAGTAACTTCATTTTATTATTGAATGCTTTCTGTCATTCCAAGTATATGGTCATCTGTACTGGTTCTGGCACTAGGTTTTCTACCTTATATCGTCAAATCTTGGGGATAGTCATTATAGCATTGAGATCAATCACCACCGGACCCTATAACACACACTTCTTTTATCTTCCTGTGAGAACATCCTCCACTAATTATACTGCAAGTCGTAGTGAAGTCGTCGAAAATGAACCATTTGTATCATAGCTGGCTCCATTTGTGTATCAGTGTGATTAATATATGTATGCTACCTGGTCGAGCTATATGGTTTTCTAGCTTCGTGTACACTATAATTCTTTTGTTTTTCCTTATTCCCTTCCCACTAAGAGTTTGTTTGACTCTTTGCAGCACCACTTTCAGAAACCGAAACAGCCTTAATGGAGCACTGAAACTGAATTTTGAGCGACCTGAATTATCGGTCAAGGAGCTATTTGGTCACTGCGATGGTTTTGTTTCCATTTCCGGGGACACTTTCCACTTTCCCAAATTATTGTTGACAACTTGACATGCCTGTATCATTTCTTTGATGTTCTGTACATTTCCCCCCTCCAACTCAGCGCAGTTCAATTGTTTGGAGGAAACCGTGAACCTTCCTAGCAGTGCTGTTGTACATGCTTGACAATGGCTCCGAACCGAAATGATTGTATCATGTTGAAGTTCCACTGCTCCCAACGAGATGTAAGCTGCAGACATTTCCTGGGGTGATTTTGTCCATGGATGATTAGGAAACTACAATGTGGTGACTTATGCACGTGTACTTCTTAGCCCCGCCCTGTGCAGCGATCGATCTTTCGAGTTTCATGCTTCAGGTAACTGACAAGATTGGTAGTTGGTCTGATTTTTACATGTATCTGATTAATCTGACCTAAATGTAAGTTGCTGAAACGTCAAAGATGTGAGAAGTAGTTGTTGAACCATAGGGGTTTACTATCTTTGTTTTTTTGCTTTAATATTCTTTTAGAAGGGTAATTATTTCTTTTAAAATGCTGGAATTGTGAGTAAATGTCGTTGTTTAATCAAGTAAATGATGAATGATTACACAAAAGTTGGTTTTTCTGTCTTTTTCTTTGCCCTTTTGTACGAGAAAGTTTCAATCGCGTCGGCAACACGGTCTGTACAATTTTGTTGGAATTTTTAATTTTTTTTTAAGTTTTCAACAAATTATATTATTACACTTGTGCTTCGAGCTGTGTTTCTGTCACAGTGAAAAATCTTTCCTTTTATACATGTCATTTCGCTTGTTGTTTGTGGAGGGAAATGGTTGCCCTCTTAACGGGGCGCAAAGCAAGTCATAAGTCCAGTCGAGACAAAGCGGAAGAAAACGAAAAATGAGCTTCACATATGAATGAGTTCTGTTAGCAGATATTTGCGTAGTCGCGTAGTCATATTGGTTATAATTACACTAGAAATCGCAAATAAAACTCCAGAATTTAATTAATGTAGGTTCAAATTTGTGATAATCAGACAATCTTATCGAAATTTGAACCGCTGCGGTCTGTTAAAGGTCACACTGCACAGCGACATCTCACTCGGCTTTGTCTAGTGCTAAAATTACAATTTCAACCTTTCACTTTCTTCTCCAAAGACCCCTTCCAACTGAAAGTGTCCGTAAATTGGAAGGCTATTTTAGTCAAATGTGACTCTCTCGACTCTCGTCATCTGCAGTGAATCAAAGTGGGAGCAAGGAGGAACAGTTTTGGTCTTTTTTGAGGTTGAAAATTTAAATTCCTGATCAAAAGTCTTTTTTATTTATTTTTAATACATCGATATTTTTACACTAAGAAAAATGAGAGTTCGGTTAAGCAACATAATGGATAACTTAATTTGGTATTGAATTCGTCATTCACCTCTCACTTCCAAATAAAGAAGAATACCACCAAATTGTAGTATTCAATGGCAATTCCTGATCAAAGTTAAAACAAATAAATTAATAAATAATACTATAAATTTTACAATTTTATTATTTATTTTGTAATCAAAACCATAAATTTTACAATTTTCATGTAAAAAAAAGAAAGAAAAATCATCCGACAAAAACAAAAGAGCTTACAGCCGCCAAAGATTTGCTGTTCTTCAACACCCCTCCCACCCCACCTTTTTCCTATTTCTCTCTATCTCCAAAAGGCAAGACAAGAAACAACAGCTCCGACCTCTCTCTCTGTAAGTATCTCCGAACATTTCATTATTTTCTCCGAAAATTGACTATCTGTTCCCTTCATTGCATGTTTTTCCAGCTCTGCAATAACTTTCCACTTTCTGGCTCTGAAATTTGCGCATGTTAATCTTTGTCGGAGAATGCCAAATGGGTTTTCCAGATCATGTCCGGATCTTGTTTTGTCATGAGCCAGCTGAATTTCTTGTCAATTTTGGTGAAAAGGGGCAAAATTTCACCCTTTTTTTTTCGTTTTTTTTTATGTGGGTTTTTGCACAAGTCAAACTTTCTAATCTTGGAACACAAATTCGATTGTTTTGAGGATTTCTACATCGGGGTTTCCCGATACAGGTCGTGATGTTAGATTGTTTGTTGTAAAAAGTCAAGCTTTACCTGGATTTTGCTTTGGCTAATGGATCAGAGATTAAAGTTTAGCAAAGCTGTTGTTTTTGCATTGTTTAGTTAATCAAAGATTGGAAATTTCAATTAATCTGTTTAATTTTCGGGTCCGAATGGATCTTTATATGCAGCTTTGTTCTCATTTGAGGTGGGTTTGGTATCACTGCTCCAGATTTCCCCAACTGGGTTGGAACATTGGTTTCTAATTAAGGGGAAGTCACTGTGTTTACCAAGGAAAGACATGAGAAGTTTATAGGTTTCGGTTCTTGCTTCTTTGTGCCGGATTTTGGCTTTGTGTTTCTGTGGTTTTCTAGCCTGATTGGACTTGTCTTTCGGGTATCACCGATGCTGTGTTTGCTCTAGTAGCTTTTCCTTTGTCGATTGAGTTATGATCAAACAGATACTTAATAGGCTCCCGAGGAAGCCCAAGTCATCTGAGCATCGTGTGGGAGGATCCTCTACCTCTAATTCAAATGTTTCCACCGGTTCAAGAGGCAACTCTATATCAAGTAACAAGTATGCGAGCTCGAGTACTACATCTTTTTCGAGCGCTAATTCTACTCCAAACTTTGGAGTAAATGTGACTTCGAAGCTTAATGGGAACTCATTGGCTTCTCCATATGAGGCATTGCCCAGCTTCAAAGATGTCCCGAATGCAGAGAAGCAGAATTTGTTGATAAAAAAGTTGAACTTGTGTTGTGTTGTCTTTGACTTCAATGACCCGACAAAGAACATCAAGGAAAAGGAGATCAAGCGACAGACATTGGTAGAGCTTGTGGATTACATTGCTTCTGCTAATGGGAAATTCTCAGAAACCGTCATGCAAGAAATCGTAAAGATGGTGAGCATAAATTTATTTAGAACACTCACTTCTACACCCCTTGAAAACAAAGCATTAGAGTCCTTTGACTTAGAAGAGGAAGAGCCTTCGATGGATCCAGCATGGCCGCACTTGCAAATTGTGTATGAATTCTTCTTAAGGTTTGTGGCATCACCTGAGACGGATGCAAAGTTGGCTAAGAGATACATAGATCACTCCTTTGTTCTCAGGTTGTTAGGTCTTTTTGATTCAGAGGACCACAGAGAGAGGGATTACTTGAAAACAGTTCTGCACCGCATCTATGGGAAATTTATGGTGCACCGCCCGTTCATCCGGAAAGCAATCAACAACATCTTCTATCATTTTATTTTTGAAACTGAAAAGCATAATGGGATTGCAGAGCTGTTAGAGATTTTGGGAAGTATAATAAATGGTTTTGCTCTGCCGCTGAAAGAAGAGCACAAACTCTTTCTTGTTCGAGTGCTTATTCCACTTCACAAACCAAAGTGCATACCCTTGTATCACCAGCAGTTGTCGTACTGCATTACTCAATTTGTGGAGAAAGACTGCAAACTTGCTGATACAATAATTCGGGGTTTACTCAAATATTGGCCTATTACCAATAGTTCTAAGGAGGTCATGTTCTTAGGTGAACTGGAAGAAGTTTTAGAAGCAACTCAGCCTGCAGAGTTCCAGCGCTGCATGGTGCCGCTGTTTCGCCAAATTGGTCGTTGCTTAAGCAGTTCACATTTTCAGGTGGGCAGCCTCTCCACTTTCATCTGTTTTGTGCTTGCTAGTTTCCTCTTTTCTGTACAGTCCTGTGTTAATCTTTGTTATTTGAAACATAGTAGAATGTCTGTTGAGTTATATGTTTTCTCATGTAGTTTGTATCCTCTATGGAATATTTTCAAAGCTTACAAATTATGGTACCATGGAGAAAGTGATATTTTGATGAACTTCTGTTGGTATATTTCTTCGTGAAGATGCACCTTAGGCATTTCGAAATTTGAAATAATAGATCTTAAGATGCTGTTTTGAGTTACTCTTGCAATATTTTAGGCTGTTCTGGAATCTATTAAGTTTCTCATAATTAAGTATGAAACCCGTAGAGTAAACAAGTTGGTCCGTATCTTTGAAGGGGAATTTCTGGCATAGCTAAGTCAGTTATTGAACGATCTACAGGCTTTATAGTATGTAGAAGAAAACGTGATTTTGGTTCTCAGCTGCACTGAAACTAACAGAAACCAATATTTTCCTTAATTTACTTCTGTACTTTACATTGAACGATTTCAATAAAATGAGTTCATGATAGTTTGTGTACTCTAGATTTACTGTTTCCGCTCTAAGCTCTCTTGCTCTCATATATCAAGTTCGTGCTTCATTTGCAGGTGGCAGAGCGAGCTCTGTTCTTATGGAATAACGATCACATTGTGAACCTAATCAAACAGAACCGCCATGTCCTACTGCCAATCATATTCCCTTCATTGGAGAAAAATGCAAGAAACCACTGGAACCAGGCAGTACAGAGCCTGACACTAAATGTCCGTAAGATTTTCTCTGATATTGACCCTGAGCTTTTTGAGGAATGCTTGCTCAAATTCCAGGAAGATGAAGCACAAGAGACTGTAAATAGTGAGAAACGTCACGATACTTGGAAACGTTTGGAAGAGCTTGCTGCAAAGAATGCTACGAGCAATGAAGCAGTGCTTGTGTCCCCCAAAGGAGCCAGCGGCAAACCTTCTGGCTAGGAACTTTGAGATACCCCGTGATGTGATTACAGTGGTTTCGATGTTCAAATTATTATGCAGGCGATAAACTGACGTTACTGTATAAGTTCTGAGATGTCAATCTTCTTGTTGTTGGCTCCTCCCCTACATGCGGAAAGTTGGGTTGTCCGGTGATCAAGTCACAGAGCATACACGTATGGCTGCTCAATCTGGAATACAGTTTGCCACCTTTCGGTTTACCATATCGGGATGTTGGGCTGTACATATCGGATTGGGTGTAGAGGAACAACGGGGGTGCTGCTGCCACAACACAAGCACGGTCTCGGCGGGTGTGGTGAGTAAAGCTGATCCTTCGTCGTCAGGGTTCCAAAGTTAACAAAAGGGCTTGAAAATTGACATATCAGCGGTTACATATTTTGGGGTTTGGTTTAATAGAGACACCCTCTTTCTCCATCTTCAGTTACTTGTATTGTATGTATCATCATCAATTCATCATCGTCAAACTATGTTGCTTTTGTAAAATGTATCCATCCCTGTAACGCCTAAATTCCGGAGTTCAGTCCGCGTATACGAGAGATATCTACTTACACCTGGAATGTTGCGGCGATGGTGTATGATTGGTTTGGAATACCGTCATCCTGACATCTCGGAGGCAGAAGAGTGCATGGTTGGTTTGGAGAGAAATGATAAGGAGACCCTCTCAAAAGTGGGACTATTTTGAGACTCCTTGCCACCTACAATGTTATATAATGTTGACACGAGAATAGACATTAAGAGTAGTTCCACTGTGGGCAATAGCCCGATGGACTGGCTCTCAAACAGGGCCAGAAAGCCCGAGCAACTTGATCCAGCTTGTGTTGGCGATTGAGCCCGAGGGAGAGGCTCGGCACGAGTTGCCAACCCGAGAGCCTGAAGGCCATGTGACGCAAGGCTGACGTCAACCACAATATAAAATTAATAAAAATATTAAATATTAATAAAAATAAAATATTAATAAAATATGTAAAATATTAATAAAAAAATCTGAAAAAAGTTAAAAATTAAAAAAAAAGATTTAATTTTTCTATAAATATCTTATCATTATCTTTCAACTTACATCATAATTTTATATTTTCTCAAATACTTTGGATTGTAATTTTTTATTTAATGACACATGGTACAACGAGACCGATTAAAAATCATATATGAAATTACAAATAAAATTATTTTGTATTATTTTATAAAATAAAAAATAATAATATTTTATTGCTATTGACAGGGCTATTCAGTGTAGGGGTGGAGATGCAAAAGGTAATTATTGTTCATTGGAGGCTATTCAATAGTGACTTGCCCTAGGAGGCCTTTGCAACGATGGAGTTGGTCTAAAGTGTGAGGTGTCAGAAGATCCATAAAGAGTCAGTTTGAGAGTCTCCTTAGCATTGATGTCATCCTGACATCTCGGTGGTGGGACATGCATGATTGGTTTGAAATACTGTCATCCTAACATTGGGGGCGGGACCGTGCTTGATTGGTTTAACTACTATCATCCTGACATCTCGGGAGCGAGATAGTGCATGATTAGTTTGAAATACTGTCATCTTGATAGCTTGGGGCGGGAATTCTCCTCAGGTGGCCCACTTGATTGCACCTAGTTTGAACAATAATTCATGTTTGATTCCAATTATTAATGGCCTATCTGTAGCTGACGAGGATATACTAAATTACTAATTGGTCCAATTACACACTTGGAAACAAATTGAATGAAAAGGAAATGGGAGGATGATCTGATTATTTTATGTTCTGAACTAAAAAATTGATTGAAGTTACTCGTCAAATGACGCAGATGAAGAGGAGAAGGATGGAGTGATTATGAAGTGAGAGAGACTCCTACCTTATCTCTTCAATTTTCATAGTCCAATCACGATTATCCACTTGTTTACTTGTGAGTTGTGAATATTTTCTTTTTACCAATCGAGAACGGGATTTGGAGCTTATTTATAAGTGCTTTTAAAATAATTGAAAGTGTTTTTGGTGAAAATGTTTATGTGTTCCAAAAGCAAAAGTTATGTGCTTCTTATATGAAACAATTTAAGTGTTTTTTCAAGATTCACTTGCATTTTTATTAATGATTGCTTCCAAAAGTGCTCTTATTAAAATCAGTTTTGGTCATTTTAAAAGCACTTCTAAAACGAAACCTTGAACTTTGAATCTCTTTCGATATTACAAAAAAAAAAAAAAAGTATTGCAAACTCAAAATTAGCTGGTTGTCCAAGTAATTTCACATTTTCATATTTATAAAAGAGTTGTTATTAGTACTCTAAAATATTTATTTACTGTAAAGAGGATTGTATGGCAACTATTTTAATCATGCGTTGAGGAGGAGAGCGGGACAACTATTTTGGAGTATTAATTACCTTCTTGTATTTACCCAAACTTTAGCCAAGTGCACTACTCATAAATCGTAGAACTCATAGTCACCATTCAATTCAATATATTAAATCCCACACTAAAGTAAAAAAATTTAGATTTTTAATGATCTTAGCTTCAATGAAGAGATGAACTTTATTATACTCATTATTAATTAATTTATTTTACTAAAGTTATTTAAAAAATGTGGTTTGAATAGCGAATTCTTAAATACATGCTATCATTGATAAATAAACAGCTTCCGAACTAAGTAATGTAGATGTCAAATTAAGATGTTAAATTTTATTTTATAGGTAATGCAACAAAATAACATTTTGTAAAGTCTCATATTCTAGCCCAATGTCAAATTAAAATGTTTTTTTCATTATTATAAAATCAAGTGGATTGTAATTTAATAATAAAATAATTAATAAGTGGAGAAAAATAAAAAATATATACGTAATGTACCCCACATTAAAGTAAAATAAAATAATTTTTTACGTTTCTTCAAATTTGACAGCAAAGTCGAATTATTTTTGTCAGAACAGTCGACATAGGATTTTTTACCTCTGATGTAATTGTACTCCACAATCAAGTGGTAGGGCGTACGCTTTAAAATGCAGCAAGTCCCTCCATCATAGCGTGAAGATGAACACTTGATAATTCCTCTTGCCGATAAATATTTTTCTTTTTTTCAGACAAAGAAATTAGAATCCAGAATTCTCCTTCAAAAAATAATATAAATTGGAAACCATAAAAAACTGAGAAAAATAAAAAATGATAAAATTTGACCAAGCCAGCGGCAGCCATCCGAGAGCCGCCATTGAAGCCATTAAAATTCAGATTGAAGCTCTCTCTCTCCGATTACAAAACCCTAATCCCATGTGAATCCAATTCACTGGGGAGATTGATTAACCCTTAATCTTAATCCTTAATCCGCCATGAATTTACACTAACACCCAGAAAATCCCCCCCCCCCAATTTCTCATTTTTCCAGTCTCTGCAAATCCCACAATTTGTAGAGAGAGAGAGAGAGAGAGAGAGAGAGAGAGAGAGAGAAATGCCAAGCGTAGCTGTACAGCTCTACAGCGTGTTCTTCAAGTTCCTCTTGAAGCACCGATTGCAGAACCGGATCCAAAACCAACCCGACGAGTACAACCCTTTTGGCGTCACCTCCCGACCCGAAGAAACAATCGTCGCCCCCAATCCGGTATTTGACGACGGCGTGGCCACCAAGGACATCCACATCGACCCCCTCACTTCTCTCTCTATCCGAATCTTCCTCCCCGAGTCCGCCCTCACCCCACCTGAACCCGCTTCCAAGCCCAGGGTTATCGCCGCACCGAAGCGATCCGATCTCAATAACGGGCCCAACCGAACCGATCCGGTCCGCCAGAGCCTTAACAATTTACCGGCCACCCCTTCTCGGCGCAACAGCTATGGCAATCCGGCGGTGTCCAATTTGGCGAAAAGCGAGCAGAGACGGAACAGTTACGGGAGTAGCAATGACATGGAGGGATTGAATTTGATGGCCAATGCCGGCGCCGGAGTGTACAGAGGCTACTCGCCGGGCAATTCGACCAGGACAGGTCGAAAGTTGCCGGTCATGTTGCAGTTTCACGGCGGCGGTTGGGTCAGTGGGAGTAATGATTCGGTGGCCAATGATATCTTCTGTCGGCGGATTGCGAAGCTCTGTGACGTCGTAGTTTTGGCGGTGGGTTATCGGCTTGCCCCGGAGAATCGGTACCCTGCGGCATTTGAGGACGGGTTGAAGGTGTTGAATTGGCTTGGGAAGCAAGCCAATTTGGCTGAGTGTAGTAAGTCCATGGGAAGTGGAAGGGGAGCTCTCGGTGGTGTTACGGAGTTTAAGAAGACTGATTCTCATAGGCATATCGTGGACTCTTTCGGGGCGTCAATGGTTGAGCCCTGGTTAGCTGCCCATGGAGATCCAACAAGGTTATGATCTTGTTTTAATCACTTTTAACTTGCATTTCTAATCTAGTGTGTTATGATTGATGATGATATATGAGTTTACAGTTTCTTAGTTCAGTTTGTAGATTTTGATAGCGTGATTTACATAAGTGCATTGCTCGTGTCAAAAGTTTATCGGCATTTGTTTGGAGTTTACCAGATGCCTGAGTTGGTTTCTTGTTATCGGTTTCTCGTAGCTGAGTTTTGATACTTGTTTGATTGCCAATTGGTTTAATAATGGAAATATTGCTAGCCAAATCTTGGGACCAGTTTTCCCAACTTAAAATAGTTGTCTAGGCTGGTTGCTGGTGGCAATGCTTTAGTTTTTGAGTTCATTTCCATCTCCCGAGAACTTCAATCAATGTCGATTGAGTCATAGGGCTAATTTCAATTTAGAAGGGCAACTGTCGGTTGATGACTGAATTTTATTTTTTTGGGAATTTGGTAAGGTTTGTATCTAAAGTAATTTCTTCTTTTGTTGCCCTGTATGATACATTGATCCCCTTATATTAGAGTATATGCTGGATTCATGTAGGTTTAGAGAAAAACAGTTTTTGTTTTCATCCTAAATTTGTTCGTAAATCTCAAGATTTCTTGATGAAAAGAGTAGATAGGTTAAGGAAGCAGTAGAAGGTGGAGCACAATGAAATATATGAGAAAAACTTCTTGTCTTGTTGCCAAGCGTTCGCCTACAGGGTTCAATATGTGGCATCGTTATCTTAACAATTCCCCTTCAGAGAAGAATTTGTCTTCCTTTTATGTTCCCTTATTTTTTGAAGATTTACTTAGCTGTCTCTCTAAGTCAGTCAGCATTCTACATTTTGCCTTTCTTTCTTTATGACATTCCAGTTGATTGGCGGCACATTTTCAATTCCATTTATGTTTGAACTGAATAGCTGTTTGCCGACATTAGGTATAAAGTCACTTATTTCTCTGCATGTTCTGGTTCTGTAAATTTAGTTTCTTCTGTTCTTTTTACCCCTTTTGGAATTTTAAGAAGGGTACATGGGAAATTTCTAACTTGTTCTGTTATCTCAAACAGATGTGTTCTCCTTGGTGCGAGCTGTGGTGCGAACATTGCAGACTATGTGGCCCGGAAAGCTGTAGAGGCAGGCAAGCTTTTGGACCCTGTGAAGGTGGTTGCACGGGTCCTGATGTATCCGTTCTTCATTGGAAGTGTTCCCACCCGCTCTGAGATAAAACTGGCAAACTCCTATTTCTATGACAAGGCAATGTGCATACTAGCATGGAAACTATTTTTACCTGAGGAAGAGTATAGCTTGGATCACCCAGCTGCCAATCCCCTCATCCCAGATAGGGGCCCACCTTTAAAGCTTATGCCTCCTACCCTTACAGTGGTGGCAGAACATGATTGGATGAGAGACCGCGCCATTGCTTACTCAGAGGAACTTCGGAAGGTAAATGTTGATGCACCTGTACTGGAGTATAAAGATGCGGTTCATGAATTTGCAACCCTTGATATGTTGCTCAAGACCCCTCAGGCTCAGGCTTGTGCAGAGGACATCGCCATCTGGGTCAAGAAATACATCTCACTTCGAGGTCACGAGTTCTCATATTAGGTAGGAGACAAACACCCCCGGAGTGGTGGCGCCGCACAGCACAATCATCTCCGCCTGTGTATTCTGTTAGAAACTGAGCCAGAGAAAACAGGTTTTGCTGTCTTACCTGGATTTCATACGACATTGTTTTGGTGGTTTCCTTTTCGATCTCTTGGGTTGTTTCAGTTTCGAAATCGTCCCTCGTGACTGTGTCATGTTCTGTGTTTTTGTAAGATAGAGAAGTTGCCTGAGATTAGGATTGTACATGAGGCTGTGAAATGTTTACCCTCCCTTTGTAAGCAAGAAGCGCCGCATTCGGACGTGTTCTTGCGCCATTTTTTTTCCCTGTGCATTATGATGTACTACTGTTTCTCATTAATATAGTTCTCAATTCAATTAAATTTCTTAATGTATTTAGACGCTTATGAACCCGACCCTACTTAGTGGGATAAGGTTTTGTTGTTACTGTTGTTTTATATAGAGCCTCATGAAATGAAATGATGCCTCTATGATCTCTTTTATATATCTTCATTTCGATTTAGGGTTTTTGGAGCGCTATATATTTTTAGGATAGTTCTATTCACACAAATGAAAACACCCTTATTTTTCACTATTCTTAATTTTCGGCTGTCGTATCGAATATTTTGAAGATTAATGATTAAAAAGTTAAAAAGGGGTGTTAAATGGCAAAGAAAGAGACAAATGGGCACATGGCCTTGGAAGGGGTGAAATTCCATTCCAAATAATTGGAGTCAGGAAGTCGTGCATTAACCTATGTTTTCTCCATTCCCCATTATTTACCTTGATTTGCACTACTTATTGGTGTTGGGAAAGCACCGAGAAAATATATATTTTAGTGTATTTTTACTTACATTATGATATAAGTCGAGAAAAAAAAAACATGTTTATAAGTTATGGAAAGGTTCCGTGATTATGGTCATTCGTCGTACATCGGACAGTCAATTTTCGTTAGATATTATTTATATTTAATTTTAAATTTTAAATTTCAAATGATTTCTAATTACACAATTTACGATAAATGAACATGATCACGAAATCCTTTAGATCCTTAAAAAAAAGATCCGGAGAAGATCTTTTTCCATAAGTTATACAACATGTTAATGTGAATTGATCTCGTTGTAGGAAAGTCTCGCTTTAATCAATGCAAAGTCATATGATACATGTTTAGCTATTTTTTTTTTTCAAATTAAAGTCCCACTCAGACAAATTTTGTTGTGATTTTTTATTTATATTGTTAACTTTTTAGATTAATCTCCATAACTTGGGACTTTACCCATTAACTTTTCCTGGCAAGAAATCCGACCTTTCCACCCGATCCGACCCGGAAAAGCAGTTGCTCTCTCTCCTTCTCTGTTGCTTTCTATTTTGGCCAGGCGGTGTTCGAGATTGCGAGTGTTGTCCTCTCTCTCTCTCTCTCGCTCGAAAATCTGAATTCCGAGCTCCACCAGCTCAAATCTCCGATCCGGTGACCCCTCGCCGTCGCTCTTCAGCTCCTCCTCCCAGATCTATCGCCTCACTCGTAAGCACTTTCCAATCCACCTTCTTCTTTCCCTCTCTTTTTTTTTTTAACTAAATTTCTGTAACGGATCTCTCTCTCTCTCTCTCTCTCTCTTTTTGAAAATTGTTATGGAAATTTCAGTTCAATTTAATGCTCTCGTCCTCTCATTTAGTTTCCTAATTAATTTTTTTTACAAGGAAATTAATCATTAAATTGTGGGTGAATGCGGGGATTAATTAATCGAGCCGCAATTTCCCGCTTTCACAATGCAACTGCAAGGATTTAAAGCCCAATCCAGAGTAGCACTGCTCGTCGCCTTCCTCTTGTGTGTTTGTTTCGCGGGTTTATATGATTTGTTGAAGCCCGTCTCCAATGGCTGCATCATGACGTACATGTATCCCACTTATGTTCCCATCCCTACCACGACTCCCGTTTCGCCTGCGAAATACAGCTTGTATTTGTACCACGAAGGATGGAAGAAGATCGATTTTGAGGAGCATCTGAAGAAGCTGAGCGGCGTTCCCGTGCTTTTCATTCCGGGAAATGGCGGCAGCTACAAGCAGGTGAGGAAATGGGAGCTGGGTTTTTGTTGGGTTTTCGTTGAAATGCTCGCCTTTCGTGTTTTTATTGGCAATTATTTTTGGAAAGTTTGAGTCTTTATGACAATGGAATGTTGGCTTTTGTGTTTGTTCTGAATTTTCGGTTTTTGTAGGTTCGATCGCTTGCAGCAGAATCTGATAGGGGATATCAAGCGGGGCCCCTAGAGCGTACATATTATCAGGAAGCTTACTTAACTCCTGAAGAGGGAGGGGAGGAGATTGATGTGACTTCCTTTAAGTTGCCCAACCGGTATGATTCCAGGTTGGACTGGTTCACGGTGGATCTCGAAGGGGAACATTCTGCTATGGATAGTGCTATTCTTGAAGAACATGCTGAATATGTTGTCAACTCCATTCACAGGGTCTGTCTCGAACTCTCATTATTTTCTTCCAATTGCATACGAAGATGAAACTTTTTTGTGCATGGTAAACATGTCTTTGAGATCATATTACATTTTCTTAATATTGCATTACGAGGAAGTGTTATGAAGGAGTAAATGACACAAATATTACATGCACTTCTCTACGCTCAACAGAATGTGTTCTGTAATATAACTACTTATATTGGAATTTCACATTTCAAATAGTCCGAATGCTAGCCTTCATCCTTGACATGATCCAGTCCCATCCAAATTATGCGGGGTCACAGAAACTGTAAACAATAATTTAATGCTCTGGTAAAAAAAGACGTTACAACACATAACCAAACCATCTTGTCAATTCTTCTCCCCTGTTGACAGTCTTTTCTTGGTCATGTTGTAGTTTATCAGTTTTCTCACGTTCTTTTAGTTTATAAGAGATGTTTAACATACAATCTTGTGTGCAGATTTTGGATCAATACAAAGAATCTTATAAGGCTAGACAAAGAGAAGGTGCTGCAACCTCTGGGAGTTCTCCAAAAAGTGTGATATTGGTTGGTCACTCTATGGGTGGTTTTGTTGCTAGAGCTGCAGTTATCCATCACCGTTTGAGGAAATCAGCAGTTGAAACAATTCTTACTCTCTCCAGCCCCCACCAGTGAGTTTTTAGCTCCTATGATAACTCTCATTGTCAAAGTGAATGCATGAATTAGTGTTTGATGAAATGTACCTATTTCATTCAGATACCCTCCTGTGGCATTGCAGCCTTCCTTGGGTCACTACTTTGAACGTGTTAATGATGAATGGAGAAAGGGATATGAGGTCCAAACAACTAGAGCAGGACATCACGTGTCTGGTCCTGTTCTCTCCCATGTTGTTGTTATATCCATTTCTGGTGGTTATAATGATTATCAGGTAAATACATATTTTTTGTATTTTCCTGTGTTATATAATCTTTGGGGAGACGGGGTGTTATAATTTTGTGTCACTATGGGGGTTCTCAGTAGTTTTTGCTCAAACTTCATTTGTATGTACACATCCGTGTATACTATATAAGTATTTTGTGTTTGTGGTACTATAAGTTCTTGCTATGTGCGTTGACTCTGTGGCTGCTGTTACTCTTGTTTTTTGTCTTTAGGTAAGATCCAAGTCGGAATCCCTTGATGGCATTGTGCCTCCCACTCATGGCTTTGTGATCAGCAGTACAGGCATGAGAAATGTGTGGTTGTCAATGGAACATCAAGCTATTTTATGGTGTAATCAATTAGTTATCCAAGTAAGTGACTAATTGAACCCAGATTTAATTATCATAAAAACAGTTCTTAAGTCTTAACACATGCTCTTATCTAGGTAGCGCACACCCTCCTTAGTTTGGTAGACTCCGGGACAGGCCAGCCATTTTCTGACACTCGAATAAGAACAGCGATATTCTCCAAAATGCTTCGTAGTGGGATACCCCAGAGTTTCGATTGGAGGATGCAATCACACTTATCTCAGCAGTCAATACACATTCCTACTAGAGACGTAAAAGATAAAACTGGTACTGTATTGTCACATTGTTTGTTTGGATAAATCCATTGTTTTCCTCTTTATAGTATGCTAAAGTTTTGAATCTGTTTTTATAGCTATTTTAGCAATGTTGACACATAAAGAGAGAAAGTAGTCATGATGTTATATCATTGAATTACATGTGTAATATGATTGCAGAATCGCTGTACACTTCCGCTGCATGTCCTAGCAATGTTCATTGGAGTGATGATGGCCTTGAGAGGGACCTATACATTCAGACAACCACCGTCACTGTTTTAGCTATGGATGGTCGAAGACGGTGGTTAGACATACAAAAATTGGTTAGCATCAGCAAATTTTCCATCTACTCAATACTGAAATCATTATGAACTTAATTTCAAGCTTATTGCTGAGTTAGATACTTTGTCCTGATTGTTCTTAATCTCCTTTTTTCTCCGCCCCCTCATATACTTTTTCATCAACCTTTCCAAGCTAGGTTCTTTAATTGTTTTCATTTAAAAAACATGATCTGGAAATTAGTTTGTTGTATCTTGTGCATGTACAATTTCATTGACATAGAAATGATGTGTACAACAATTTAATTTATACTGTGTTTGCATGAATATGACTGGGGAAAAATACTTTTGATACTGGACCGTGATATATTCTTTTTCCTTTCCACTTGTTCTTGTCACGATGATAGAATTTGTTAATTTTCTTTTATTTTTTGAATTTCCAATATCTGATAGTGCTCGGACTTTAATCAATACATGCAGGGGTCAAATGGAAGAAGCCACTTCATGTTCGTGACAAACCTTGCTCCGTGTTCTGGGGTTAGACTTCATCTGTGGCCAGAAAAAAGAAACTCAACTTCAGAATTGCCTATTTGTATAAGAATCCTCGATGTGACATCAAGGATGGTGCGCATTCCATCAGGACCAGCACCAACACAGGTACTGAGTTTTGCATTCATGACCATGTTTTAATGGGATAATTGTTGCATTCTCTTATTTGTGGATATGCTCTGTCTTATTAGATTGAACCTGGAAGCCAGACGGAGCAAGCTTCTCCTTCTGCTATATTTCGCTTGGGACCTGAGGACATGCGTGGTTTCAGATTCCTGACCATCTCAGTTGCACCTCGTCCGGTATTGTTTCCCCTCATTGTTGATGGTTGGTTTGCTCCTTATGTCATTGTAGTAGGCTTTGCTTAGGTGAACAGGCTGTCATCTCCCTTTGTCTTTCTTTTCTGTCCTTTTCATGGTTTTTTAAATGAAAAAATATTTGAATTTGAACTGGTTAGTTTGGCTCATGTTGAATAATACTTCCCCTCTCTAGTAAAATGTTGACAATCAATTGATCAGACTATTTCAGGCAGACCTCCACCAGCAGTTTCCATGGCTGTCGGGCAGTTTTTTAATCCAGAAGAAGGGGAACGAGAGTTCTCCCCTTGGTCTATGCCGCTACCTAGTTATTCTTATAAGGTTAATATCTCTAGATGCTACCTTATTATGGAATATTTAAAATTGTTGAAACTTAAAACTCAATTCAAATGGTTTAATTTTAACTGTTCATGACTTGGGTTCGATGCAGGAAATGTCTTTGAAGGAGGATCATCCTCTTGCTCTGAATCTATCATTTACCACGAGCTTGGGCCTTCTGCCTGTCATGTTCTCTTTGAAGGCTGCAGGCTGTGGGATAATGAATTCTGGACTTCCAGACGAACAGGCTGGAGATGAAGATAATAGCAGTAAGGATTTATATAAATAGTAGTTTTTCATTTTATGTTTTTTGGTTCTATTTGTTATCATGGATAAATGTAAAATATTATTAATGAAAAAAATGGTTGTAATCTGTTGATATTCTTGCACAATATTGAACCTAGCATTATTTTCTCCTATCTTTTTGGCTAAGCTAGTTCTTTCTTGGTACAACAGAGCTCTGTAAGCTTCGCTGTTTCCCTCCTATAGCATTTGCTTGGGATCACACGTCAGGTCTCCACATATTCCCAAATATGTACAGTGAGAAAATTGTTGTTGATTCTTCACCAGCACTATGGAGTTCACCTCAAAGTTCCGAGAAAACCTCTGTTATGTTGCTGGTAAGGTCACCTAAATTTTCATTATTATTGTAATATAATATGGCACAAGATATTTATAATTTACAGATTCTATTCAGGCCAAAAATGGGGGGATTCTAATGATTTATTCCAATCGTTTGTTAAAATCGAAGGTGTTTATGTTTGTCTACCTCTGCTTCTGTTCAGGTAGATCCACATTGTTCATATAGAAGTTCCATGACTGTTCCTGTAACTGCAGCTGCCAGTAGGTTCTTGCTTTTATATAATTCACAGGTAATGATTTTCAACTTTCTCTCTCATTGTTTAATACTTCTTAATAAAGAAAGAGGCATGCTTCTTATTTCGTTTTTTGATGCTCTCTTGCAGATTGCTGGTTTCTCCCTTGTTGTTATCTTTTTTGCGCTAATGCAGCAAATATGTACGTGGGATCTTGACCAACACATACCTTCGATTCTTACGGCTGTGGAATTTAATCTGAGAATCCCATTGCCATTTCTCTACCTTGCCATTGCCCCGATCTTGCTTTCTTTTTCCCTCTCCTTTTTGATTTCTCAACCATTTCCTTCATTTTCTAGCTTCACCATCGTCTCGGTGACTTGTTATTTACTTGCTAATGGCTTCGTAATAATTCTGATTTTGATATCCCAACTCATCTTCTATGCGGCCGCTGTTGTACATGTTTTCATCAAGACAAGGTCAGTAGGCTCTTTTGACCACTCTTTATTTACTTTCCATTACTTGAAAATCAACTAGCTTGAGTATTCTCAGCCAGTGTATATATGCATGTTCACTGTTTGTTGTGCTGAATGACAAGAATTAGTCTGTTGCCAGGTTTCAGTTGGGGGAAAAAAGTGTTCACCGGTTTATTAATCTTTCTTCGGGTTTCTTTTCATTGAAGGTATATCTTATCCTGTGGTATAAATGTAATCATTACTAGCTCAGGTATCTTTATTTCCTTCGTTTACTATGGGAAAAGATTGGCAAATTTGCTCATTCACTTTCACATGGGTTTTTCATGGACAGCTGGTAAGGGTTTTAAGAGCCAATCCGGTATTCGTTACAGCACTTGTTGCAATTACTGTGGCGTGCTTGGTTCATGCAGCGTTCGGTCTATTTATAATCTTGTTCTTCGATGCTTTGAGCTGTCACAGTGCACTTTGCAGGTATGTCCTCACTTTGTTTCAGATGGATTTTTGTAGGAATTGTGCACAAAAGCCATGCACTTGCTGTCCAATTGCATGTGAATTTAATGTGGCTTTTAGTTTTTTTAATATTTATTAGTCCTCGGTGCTGACTTGCTTGTTGATAAATAATATGTAAAGCCTCTTGTGTCATATTACCTTCAGCGTAGGTGTGATAAAAAAGATCCTAAGAGTTGCTTTATGTCTGTGTAACAGTTTTTTGACAGCTTCATTTCGCAGTCATGCACGAAGACATGAATTATTTGACTGTAAAAAAGAAGACAATGGCCAGTCCTGCCAACTTCCATCCAAAAGTGATGGTATATCAAACCAGAATATTCATTCTGAAGATTGCTGCTCCAACAGTCCAAACTCTTCGAAAAGTTTTGGTGAAACACAGTTAGAGTTATTCCATCATCGGCATGGGCTGTTTATTTTGCATCTTGCTGCAGCGCTCATGTTTGTCCCGTCACTTGTCGCCTGGTTCCAGGTACAGTAATCCAAATCGATATGTTTAAATTTCAAACCTTCTATGCCTTTTTTTGTTCTTCGTGTAAGCAAGCTGGCTTTTTACAAAAAGGACATTTTTCTCCGGTTGCAGAGAATAGGGATGGGTCATAGCTTCCCATGGCTCTTGGATTCATTTCTTTGCACAGGTGTGATCCTTCATGGAATCTTCACCTCAAAGCCCGAGTCCAGTTCCTTCTTGGTATCTTTCCCTGGCTTCCGAAACTGTGAAGTGAGGCTGAATTTTCTGTACCTGCTAGCTGGATACTATTCCTATATCTCTTCCCTGGCCTTGGCTCCGTACAGAGCATTTTATGGTATGGCTGCTATAGGCTTTACTTGCTGTGCTTTGACGATCTTACAAAGTCGGAACAGAGAAAAGGGAGAGCCCCATTTTGTTAGCCGAAAGCACTCCCACAGGCACTAACTTCGCCAGAAACACGCATTCACTGAGCGGCCAAATCTTCCGCAAGGGTTCCTTGTACAAATACAGGTTATGAGTACATTGTCTCGAGAGTGGGATGCGTTGTGCGCATGACTCCAGTATCTACAGTTTTGAAATCAGAATCCTCACACGGAAGCAAGCGACCCTGTCCACTGGTGTAACACGTAATATGAAGCGAAAATTTTGCAGCGTGACAACTATGAGTTTGCCGCCTTTTTTTCCGGTTAGGGTGGTTTTTCTTTTTCTGTTTCCGTCGGGGTAGTTTGCCTGACTGTTTTATTGGCTCGACCTGTGTGTATCGTGTTACTGATTGAAAACAAAGATTGGGAAATGAACATTCAAATTTGTTGTTGTATTTGATTAATTTAGTTCGCGACTTACGTTGGAATGTATGTGCAGTCTCAATATTTGGGGGAAGAAGGGAGATGAGCAAAATTAAGCACCAACCAAACAGACCAGTGAACTTTTTGTTTTCTGAATTTAAATGTTTCGGAATTGGTTTTTATGTTCGGCCCCAATGTGCCGAAATCGAACACAAAAGTTGAGTGGTACAGGGCCGAAGGGTTTTCCTTTCATGCACCGGAGAGAAAAACTGTCTACTGGACTGGTACAAGAGTTTCATTTGGAATGGTTTGTGCTGTACCCTTTCAATGAACACTCGCACACATAGAAGAAACATCAGACACAGAATGTAAAACATATCCGTCTTTTTGCTAAACAAAATGTATTGAACTCATAATTCATTAGATACTTTTTATGAATGTCAACTACGTATGTATCGTAAGTAAATTGCTCCTGGTTGTTCAATCATTTGATAACCAGAATCATTTTTTGATAAATGGTCACTATGAGTCAGACTCAATAGAATTTGATCAATCATTTTTTCTGTCGTTAATGTGGAGAACTGAACCAAGAATTTCTCTTTCTTTATCATCAATTGAATCACTGTTCGAGACTCACTGACACAGGAATAACCAAGAACGGTGGTTAATTTGTAAGACTTGTTAAACACAATGCAACGGATGTTGAGAGCAGCAAGTGTTTCATTCAAGCAACAGCAACCGAAGTTAGTTTACAGAGCAAGGGCAGCTAAACGACCACAATTACTAGACTACCAGTCAGTAGCGTCACCGGAAATGGAAGTTTTGAAACCGAAAGAGAAGCTAGACTACGACATATGTCGGGTAAAACGATGGTTAGTAGCTCTGGATGCCATGGCTCTCATGTTTGCTCTCGCCGAAGAAATCCAAGCACTACTAGATTCATCAGGGGTTCCCCTAAAAGCGTCCATAAATTCCTCCCTCTGCAATCTTAGAGCCAATGCAGCATCCTCGTCTTGGCTTGGGATCCTTCTACTACTACTCCTCGCATTCATCTCTCTGCTTGATGCCCTTATAAACCGAATACTTCTATCAGCGCCTTGTTCTGGGTTCCGATGCTCAGGTTCGTCCTCTTCATCTTGGGTTAATATTACCCGTCTTCTCCTCATGGTCATTTCTCTGCTGCTGCTGCTGCTGCTGCTGCTTGATACCCCCGATGCCCTTCTACTTTGAACATTCCTTGTGTTGTACACAGCCTTTCCGGGGCTTTGACGAGGAGTTTCTCTACCATTTGAGGCTCCAACAGCTTTCCTTGCTTCAACTTCTTGTGGAAACAGAAGCTGTATCGTGTTCCAAAGAACCGTGTTGACGGTGCAGGATCTACTATTGCTGCAAATGTCAAGCAAGATAGAGATAAATCCAAAAAGCACATCGCAGCATTGAGCATCAGCCGATTAATTAACCAATTAGCTTGGAACTATGTGAGAAACATACCTGATTAGCTGCCTGCACTTGGGGCACCTCTTCCCACATTTATCAGCGGCGGACCGCAAGCATTTCTTACAGAAACTACAATCAAACAGTCGTACAAATCAGGATAAATTGATCGGCTATTCGAAGTCAAGCGGCATGTGATTCAATCGTCCAAGCCCTCATTTGGATCATCGAATGGCAATAAGATCGACAAACACAAATTTTAAGCTATGCTTTGTTGGTTTCGAAATTACCTGTGGCCACAAGTAGTAGTACTTGGTTCATAGCAAATCTCCAAGCAGATCTGCCAAGAACATCAGACCCAGTACGTTAGAAAACAAAATTCATTGAAACCCGTTTGATCGAGTACGTCAAAGTTCTAACTGCTAACTATGCAGGCAGGTTAGAAGGTTCTTACAGCGCAAGAAAGTTCTTCCCTGAGCTTATCCAAGCAAGGAAGTTCCGAACTTGGCGGGCAAGAACCACCAGAGCTCTCAGCCATTTTATCTTCTCTCGTTTCCTTCTCTTTATTCGCAACAATTTTCACTTCCACCTTCTTCTCTTTCCCACTCTCTGCACACCAAAAATATTACCCACAAGATTTCATATAAAAATTTAAGACAACATTTCAGGAAAAAGGTGCAGGATTTCCATAACGCAAGTACCCAACAGATCAAATGGAGAAAACCAGTACCGTCTTTCGCAGTTTCTTCTGCATCATCAAGATCAAGAACAGCTACAGGGATTGAAATCGGGCTCCTTCTCTGAGCTCTGCGCTTTCTAAAACACGAATCACATTCAAAACTAAATCTACAAAAAAAAAAAAAAAAAAAAAAAAAAAAAAAAAAACCTATTGACGCAAGATTAAATCTTGGAATTGGATACCTATAATTATTTCATACCTTCTTGATGAATTGGTGATTGGGGTGTGGGAGTCCAAGACGGAGCGTTTCTTGTGTTTAAAATCTCTCTCCGGCGTATCATCAACCACCAGGCTTGCAATTAGAAGGCTCTCTTCGTCCCAACCGGCCATGGCGGCCACGGATTTGAATCTGGGGCTGAATATAATAGCATTGCCGCTGGTGCCATTGGTTTCGACTTCAACCGGGCCTGATTTTCTTTGCTGGTTTTTCGGGTTTATCAGACTCTGTTTTGGCTCTTCTTCTTTCCTCGCCATTTTTGGTTGTGTCTTTGGATGGACCGAAGGGAAAGGGAAGAATCAAAATCCAGGAAAGAAAGAGGCTAACGAACAAAAGAGCGCAAAAGGAAAGTGGCGTGTCGAGGGATTTTGGTCTTTTGCTAACGGTCAAATATTTGAATCGCATGTTTGTTTTTTAAATTTCCAACGGCTATAGAACCGGCTTTGAAAATTGTGTAAGAATTAATTTACGTGTTGTAATATGAGCAGACGATATAGTTGATATGTTATGAGTTTGGGGTATTTTATTATATCTATATCAACATGTTACGATATAAGTTAATTAGTAATATCACGTGACAGTGTGACAGTTACACTTAGCTAATGAGTTAAAATTCTTCAAATAAGGTTTAAATGATGTGAAATGTGAAGAAAAGATTTAAAACAGGTCTTAAAAGGGAGATTTTAAGCGAAAAATCTAAATTTTAAGATCAAATTTTCAAGAATGAAATCAAATTTACAAGAATAAATTAACTAATGAAATTCAATACATAACGAGAACTTGGGACTAAGAGATTTGAAATTGAATGTGTATGATCATTTAGAATATACCATATTGCACAATATCCTCATCTCTAACTCGTGTGATTAATCCTCTCTACGCAGTAATGCACAAACTAATTAATCCACCTACTTAATTACCATTTCTCTACAAAAACTCAAAACAAACTATCTGCTTTCTCCTCGCTCTTCTCCTTCTCATCATACTCCTTAACTTTCGTTGTTCCTGTTGTTCGTGTTGTCGGTGTTGTTGAAATTGTACCTCCACTCGAACTTCATCATCCTCCTCTTGCCACGGCAAAAGACGGGTGCGCGGATCGACAAAATCCTGCAGCACTCGATCTCTAAGCCCTGTGTCCTTAACCTCGCAGAATCTATGTGACCAATCCGGTGGCTCCACGGCTCTCGTCCCCAATCCCGGGGCCCTGTCCTTGGACCCCACATTCTGTTCCTCCTGCCAATCAGCCACGTAAGTCGCCACCCTCCTATAAAACTTCTCCTTGAACACTTCCCACACTTGGTACTTGTAGTGATTGATAACCATCACCCCCATATCAACATTCACGGCCTCAAACCCGTCTCTAAGATGAAAATGATGCACCACGTTGATCATCGTCGAGTTTAGGGCCTCCGGCCTCACTATACTCTTGTGCCTCTCAGGGCCGCCCATCCGACATGTGTAACCCACCGTTACACCTTGTGTCGGGAGTTGTTTGAGGCCGGAAGGCCCAAAACTGTAACACAAGGCTCGGATCTCTCCAATGTAACCGTAATTGGACTGATTGCGGAGCACATCGTGGATCAAGAGCCCCGAAGGCATGTGGAAGAACTCGTCCACGTCTATGAATCCGACCCACTGGCATGTCTCTCGGGCTCGTAGGGCGCAATGGGCGAACCCGGCTTCCTGGGTCTTGATCCAAGGCCATACGTGTCTCGTGACATTGTAATTTGCTTGTCGTAGCCACTCAATTACGATATCAGAGTCGTCGTCGCTGTTGTTGTCGTATAAAAACCACCGTTGAACCCCCATTCGGGCGTGGTACATGACCCATTCCTTCAAAAACCGACCCTGATTTCGAACCATGGAGCACAAACACATCTCGTGCAGCTTCCGCCGGGGCGGGTTGGCAAGTACGGGTCGGAGCCCGGGGCGGGCAATGGAGGGTAGTATTCCTCCACCACCTTTCACTCGAACGGAGACCTTGACTGAATTATTGACGCCACGTGGAAAATTCAACACGCTTATGGGGGTTCTGCACCGCACGATCTCCTGAGCGATCGAAACGACGTCGGCTCTCAGTAAATATCTGGTGGTTCTGAAATCCCAGCCGTAGACGCACTCGAATTTGGTGGCGTTGGAAACTCTTTCCCGCCGTAGATTGAGGCCCTTCACGAACACGATCGTGGTGTCGTCGCGGTCGACGAGGGCGTCGTAGGCGAGCCAGTCCCAGCTGTACGAGGGAACCGCCGGGACCTCGTCGTCTGGTCTCAACGCAACAGAAACTGTTAAACCACGTGGCTGGAGCGGGCACCGCACGACCTGATTGTGGCGATCGTCGCCGTCGATGTCAACCGGGGGCTGAGTGAACCGGGGCTGGGAGGAGGACGACGAGGAGGACTCGTTGGCTGAGAAGTAGACGCAGTGGAGGTCGTCTTTGGTAAATAAGCCGGCGGCGGGAGGGTAGTTTAGGAAAACGAGCGCCTGATCGGGAAACATAACGACTTCTCGAACGGAAACGGTTTTGTTCGGTGGAGCTGGCCATGTTAGCAGCAGTACCGGATGAAACGTTTCTGCACGTCCGTACACATGAATTAACCGATCAAAATTTCAGTTTAATGAAAAATAATTGAATTAATAATAATATAAAAACAGAAAATTAATTACTTACTGCCGAAGAGGAAGCGGAAAGTGGAGAAGGTGAAGCCGGAGAAGAGGGCGCAGTTGATGACAAAGAGGGTGCACCAGAACAAGGTGTTCCAGGAAACGACGTCGCGCGGGGGTCTCTTCTTACGGCCAAAACCCTTGGGTCCCTTCATAACTTGGGCCCCGCCGCGGCTATGGAAGCCTCTGGGGGAGGAGAGAAGCAACCCAGGAGGAGGAAACTGCTTTTCGAGTGGTACTTGTACTGTGTCTTTTCATTCATAAGTTACGTACTTAATTGCTGGATTTTCTTCTTGGATTAATCTTAATTAATCACTTTTGTTTTGTTTTGTTTCTGTACTCAGAATCTCAGATAGAGAGAGAAAGAGAGAGAGAGAGAGAGAGAGAAGGTCGGAAAAGAAGAGGAGAAGAGAGAGAGAGAGAGTGGGAAACGGGGGGTGGTACGACTTTGACGGGAGACAGAAAGACTTAACGACCGTTCAGAGTTGGTTTATTTGTGCGGCCGTTAACATGTCACTTTGGTTGCACTCGTTTTTGCATGGTGCGTATGCGAATTAAATGAGAAAAACAAAATCATTATTTGAACAGTTATTGTCAGAACAACATCTACTAAATAATTCTTCACAAAACAAGAACATTATCATTACGTCCAGGATTTTTTTAAAGAAAATTAATTAAAATTGTTTGAAAATTCTGAGTTTTAACACTAAAGATAAAATAAAAGGTAAAGTGAATAGTACCATGATTGACTTTTTAGTATAAAAATGTAATTTTTTTGTTAAAATAAACAGTACCGAAAACTCTTCGTTAATGTTCTATTTTTTAATGCAATTATCACACAATTAAGTGAATTTACTAATTTGCGTAAACTAATGCATTCGCATATCATAATAAAAATGAACAACGTAATTGAAAATTACACAAATTTTGTTATTTTATTGTACGAAAGGTAATTTCGAAATCATTATCTTACTTTTGTCTCTTGAGTGAATCTTAGATTGAGCTGCCGTATAATGCAACTTGCTCACAAAGATAAGACCAAGATGGGGTCGGATGTGATTGAAAGGTTCAGGTATTTGCGAGGTTGGCTAGACCACCTACAACAACACAACAACAATCAGAATTTATCTCAATAAAAGGGTTGTCTATACAAATTGTAAAACGTTATTACACTTAATTTTGAGTCAAATTTTCCGCGAACTTCCAGTATTCCATATTTTTTCTTAAATTTTGTACATGAAGCTTGACCACCTTCTGAGGGCTAATTAAACTTTGTTATCATTATGGTCTAAAAGCCACTAAGGGTGGCACAGATTATCTAATTATCTGTTTATCTACTATTTCTACCAAAGGGCAAAAAAGAAAAAGAAAAAGTGAAGGTATATATTCTGTCCACGTAGCCACGTGTCCATGTCGTTTTCAATAGGTGTTAACTTTGTCAAAAAAGGTGGCACATACTTAAGGGACAAACAACTATTATTTGCCTTGATTATCATTACCTTACCCTTTGCCAAATACTTTAGCAAAACGGATACGACATTGCGTTTTTGCTTTTTTTTTTTGGGTCGTGATACGACACTGTATATGCATGCAGTTTGGGAAGGCCAACTTGACCCAATCTTGCCAGTTCGGCCTAACCCAAGTTGATATAATCTTAGAGGGCCTAGACCAACTGGAACCCCACTATTTTGAAGACTGATGATCAAACTAAGAAGCCCTACCCAAGTGATGTTCGAATTGAGTTGGGTTGGAAACTAGACTTTGGGGTGCAGTTTGAGCTTTAATGGCAACGATTACAAACGATATTATTATTGAAGTTACATTAAGGTCCTGTTTAGTGAGCTGAATGAGATAGGTTGTGATCAATTAAAATGAATTTGAGTCCAGTCTCATATTTGTTGTGTCAAAATGTCAAATATACAAGACTGGACATGATGAGTTATGAATCCAAAATAGAGTGAGTTATTTAACCTATCCTTATACATGGGTTACAAGTCCCTGCCAATTCAATCTTATTCAGTCCACCGAACTGAAGAACTGGGACGCAATAATTTGAAGAGGAAAAGTCTATCCTTTCGAGCATTCCACCACTTTCGATCTTGATTGGCATTGAATACTACTACATTCTTATATAGTGAAATGCAAGGACAAGGACGTTAGTTGGTCATGGTCATTAAGCATCGATAAACAAGGATCTAAATAGACTGATACTTACTATTCACGCTTGCGAAACTCACAAAACATGAGCATTTACAACAACTTATATATGCGTAGACTACTGATGCTAGCATTCCTCTTGTAAAAGATTCAGTATTTAACTATGACGAAAATGACGAGACTTGAAGGTAACTAGTGACAAGGACGTTAGTTGTACCTAAACAAGATGCTAAATTCTCAAGAAACAATTGATCTTTTAACTCATCATCATATATTTACGTAGTTGTCTTTGAGATTTTTTGTCTGCAGGTGTGCATTTCTTCTGTAGAAACAAAACAAGCATCGCCTTAGAGCTTGGTTGTATTTGTATATACCCCGACAAACATTCGTCATTCTTATCCCTTCTTCTTCTTACGATTCAAAGATACCTTTTTAGTCTTTCTCAACATTAATTCCATCACCCTAATTGGACACATTGGTCTTTTTCTTAATCACTTTTTTTACTTGCTAATTAAGATTAAAACTTGTTTTCATCTTTTTGTCAGCACCAAAAGCAAAAGCATCAATGAGCCAACTTGAACTACTTGTGTTAGTGACCACTTAACGTAAGGCACAACTTATATTATTTTCTTGCAGCTAGGGTTGGTACTTGATGATGCCTTCCAACTGGCCATCAGTTTTGTCACCAGCTACTAGATCTTTGTTCTTGACTTCTTTCGCCTACAACGATGTCATGGACTCCGATTTGTCCATCCAAACCTCTACTTCATATTAGAAAAACTAAGAAGATATATATGGAAATATAGGGTTGTATAGAGATTCTCAATTCTCAGTAGTTGTCATATGACGAGAGAGAGAAAAAAACATGAACATATGCAACGCAGTGATACGATAAATTTTCTTAAGGCAATTCTATAATGTTGGTAAAAGGTTGTATAAAGATTCTCAAGACATGGATACAACTCTTGTCAAAAGGCTGTGTGCCATTTGGGGAAGTTCAAAGTTGCATGCACCTCTAGGGCCTTGGCATGGAAACATTATAAACATGTCGACGTGCAGGTGTGTACCTGCAGCATTCAAATAAAGCAAATCTAGGGTTTTTTCCCCTTCTTTTTTCTTTGTTCTTTTTATTTTGTTTTTTCAAGTTTTGGTAACTAACCCTATTATTATTTGTCAACAGTTGATGCTATTCACACACATATTTTTTTTATCTTTCACACACTTTTTGAAGAAAGTGAAGGTTCCAACATAAAATTAGTTGTCAACATAAAAAGTAACTCAATTACTTATAAGAACACGCAAGGTACATTGTGGAATTAATATTCTCAACACATACCTCACGTGTGGCAAGTTTTTAAGCCTAACACGTGGACAACACAAATCGGGTGACGTGAAACTGTTTGGCTTCACACAATTAACGTGCTCTGATACCATGAAAGTTCAACCATAAAACCAATTGACATATAAAAAATAACCCAATTACTTATAAACACATGCAAGATCCTCTCTTCTCCAATGTCAGATCAACACCCCCCGTTGTAATATGTAATATGATCTTTGACAATCACGAATAGTCATCCTTGGAACACCAAGATAATGTTTCCACGCCTCAGAGGTCGGCCCCGCGGCCCCAAAATGTGTGCGTTTCTGATGACTCTGCATCTCCAAAAAGATCATGGGGAATATTCCTGTGCATGAACCCAATTTAAAAACCATATATATATTGCTCATCATTTGGTAAATAATATTATTCAATATTTATATGCTAAAGGATTGTCAACTGGAAGTGGTATTGTAACGTATTTAATTCAGCACCATTGTTGCAAATTCATACTTTTGTATGTACACAGACATCTTCTGAATTCCACCAAAGTCTATATGTTCTTCAAACTCGTCCAAAACCGCATTCCCTCACTATAACAGCTCCTTTTTTTTTAAGTTTAAAGGTTTTGCGCATAAAATCGACATGAGAAAAGTCTATGCTTGTGAATAAAAGTAGTTTAGTATATCAGCAAAAACAAAAGAGAGAGCAAAATGTGTATGGAGCACATCATATTGGTAGGGTTTGTACTCAAATCATCGAACATAAGTGACCCTGCAGGTGTCTAGGAATTATGGAGATTATGGTTACGCCATCGTGTTTTTTCATACCTTTTCTTTTCTTTCTTCTTTTTTTTTTTTTTTTGCTCAGATCGTCTTCATAGACATGCTTTTCAAGAAAAAAAGAGTAAAACGGAAAGAGAAAAAAGGGTATCATTGTTCCCAAACTCATTAGTAATTTGCAGCATGCAAAGCATTGTAGATGAAGACTCATCCGATTTCTACCATGCATGATTTTGCTTGCTAAACAATGCTAATTTGTGCATGTATTGACAAACTCAAATGCGATAAGAAAACACAGTATTTTTAACTGCAAATCATAGTCTGACATGTATACAAAAGTATATCTTTAAAATAGTAAAAAAGAAAAGTTTATGCACACATGTAAAACCTTAATTTTTGTCTGCAAAAAGAACGAAGCCGAAAACTGATCAATAAAATAAAATTTATGAAAAGAGAAATGGAAATGTTAATATTGTGAGCCAGAATCGTATTTTTTAAAATATAGGATGAGGAATTCAAAGAAGAAACTCTTTGTTCCACTCAAAATGTAACCTTGTCATGTCATGTAGCCAACTTTAATTGATTCATGTTTGAAATTTTTATGATACCTCTCTCTCCCTCTCTCTCTCTCTCAACTTCGTAAAATTAAACAAAAGAGTCGTTTCCAACGACAAAAGTGGCCAGCCCTCGAGCAACCAGGAACCTTTCAATCTCATTATTTTTTGGCTTCACATAGATTAAAGCCAATGTCACAGAGAGAGAGAGAGAGAGACTTAAGTTGTTAAAATTAAAAAATAAACATTTGAATTGAATGAAGGCGACCCACGTCTGTTTTTTTCCTCTTTAATTTTCTCACGACTTTGTTCGATTTTGGGGTGGTGTCATTTTTATATCTATTTAGACTGAAATGCTTTTCTCCAATTCAATCATTTATCTCCCCTCTCAAACAACAACGTTCTGATTTTTTAATGACGGAATGAACTGGCAAAGCATCTTTGCTTGGATTATAAGGCTCCCTTTTTAAGCTAGCCCTCCCACTTTATTGTTCACTTAGGAATTCAGGCTCTCTCACTTTTGCTGCTCGGTTGAGTTTTCTTTTTTCTTCTCGACAATACTAGGGAGATCGAGTTTGTGACAATGGGAAGACTACCTTGTTGTGACAAGGTCGGATTGAAACGAGGACCCTGGACGATCGAGGAAGATCACAAGCTCATGAATTTTATTCTCAACAATGGTATCCATTGCTGGAGAATGGTACCTAAACTTGCAGGTATATATATACTACTATTTAATTTACATTTTTATCATGATCATGTAAATTTCCTTTCCCTTCATCCCTTGTGCTGTCTCGATCCTCATCATCGATAATTTTGTATGGTGATCTAGGGTTGCTGAGATGTGGGAAAAGCTGTAGATTAAGATGGATCAATTATCTAAGGCCGGACCTTAAGCGAGGTGGTTTTACTGAAGCTGAAGAGAATCAAATGATTCAACTCCATTCATGTCTTGGTAACAGGTATAATTTGCCTGCTTTTATAACCCTCCGTTTCCTTATCTGAAATCAGTCCGATTAGTAGTAAGCCGCTCATCTCTGAAATTTTGACATCAATGTCATGGCATATGTACTAACTGTTAGAGCTGGTGTTTTTAATATTTTTGTGTGCAGGTGGTCTAAGATTGCTTCACATTTTCCTGGCCGGACCGATAACGAAATAAAAAACCACTGGAATACCAGAATCAAGAAGAGGCTAAAGCACCTTGGCGTAGACCCTTTGACCCACAAACCCATTGAGGAAAAAGAACACATTGAAGAAAATAAAGACACAATTACTCAACAGTCAAACATTACTTCTTCATCATCAGAAGAAGGACTAGAAGAGTCACGAGGCACTGGCTTGGAGGCTAAGCTACTGGAAGATAGTAATGGAAACAAAGGGTTTCCAGAATCCGATGAGAAATCGCAAAATGAGGTTCAGTTAACCACGTTGGATGACGCGAATGATATCTCGGAAAACTATGAAGTTTTTTGTGGAAGCTTGGATTTGGGAACATTGATGTTAAACCAAGGATTTCCCAACACCAGCAGCATGTCTAATTCGTATAGTACCTCGTTTTCGGTGGAAGATTCTAACAACGCTTCCATTTCGATAGGGGAAACCATGCAGGAAAATTGTCTTCAACAGTGGGTTGATAGTGTGGATTCCATGCTCTCATGGGATGGCTTCAATATTTTCGGACAAGACCTTTTCTTTTTTTGATCGAAATAGCCATAGATGAACATTATTTATGATCACTCAAGCTACAAAATTGTTGCAACAATTAAATCAGAAGATATGTCATTTTAATGTGTGTTTATAGTTTGTAATTGCGATCGATATTCTAATTTAAATCATGAAAAGGAGATCGACCTTGGGTGCGACACACTGTCTTAGCCAAGTTGACTATAAATATCTGTTGAGATAGAGTTCTCTTCCATCTTCAATTAGAATATGAATAATTGGAAGCAAACAATGCCCCCGGGGTTAACATTATTACTTTTTCACAGCTTTATCTTGAATTAATAATATATAAGAAGCTACTGGAGCAAGCAATTGCTAATTTTTTTAGGTCGTGCCAAGCACTGAGGATTAAGTGGAGTAGCTCCCTGCCTATATATACAAAGAGAAAGGAAGTTGTTATCAGTACTTCGACAAAGTTATATATTTTAAACATTTAAGATATAAGGAAGAAAATAGCGTTTGAAAGATGCATGTGTTATGATATTTTTAGAGCATAAATAACCCCCTTTTGTTTTCGAGCTTCATATATAGAAGGTTTTTTTACTGAATTACGTGCATGAATTGTGCTTGCAAACTGCTCAATGAGCCCCACGTGGAATCTCACGATATCACCTCCCAACAAAAAAGGAGAATCATCTGAAGCCACTGCAGACACTATTCAGTATTATTCATTCTGGAAAAATACGACAAGCGCGTGCATATATATACATATATTATAATTCAGTATGTGTTCAATGCAAATTAATGTATACTAAATTACTAATATGTATTTTAGTATAATAATTGAAGGAGGTTGGAGAGAATACTTGTTGGCTTTAGTTAATCAGCTGACCCTATTACTCAGTATAAAGTAGCATGTATTAACTTGGGTTGTTAGGGTTATCGAGGTTTGGTTTAGAGAGCATTTTTTTCGTTGAAAATTTCTCATTTTCTTTCGTGTAAATTACCCTGCAACGAATTAAAAACTGATTCGATTATAAGATGGTCCATGTACATATGTGGTTTGCGTCATGATTTCACACATATATTTCATTAAGCTTTAGCCAAAAGGCCAAAAAAGGTATTGTATTTTATTAAGCCACTAACATCATCATCTTCAATTCTCAATATAAGTACAACCAAATTGAGAATATAAATATATATTTTTTTAATAAATATACAGTCATAACTAAGAGGGCGAGCTTTGGCGCAACAAAAAGTTTGCTCATTTGTACCGAAAGGTCACCGATTCGAGTCATGAAAATAAACATTTGGCAAACCAAGAGTTAGGTCGCGTATGATAGATGTTCCTGTCCCGGCCCTCGCAATGCGAGGAGCCTTGCTACTTGAGGTTGCCCTTTTTATACAATCACAACCTAAAGCATTGATATATATTGGTGTATGGGACATACATATTAATTATTTCTTTTTCAAGTTGGTATAAGGGACATACAAGGAGGCTGGCTGATCAGATTCTTTATGCTTCTTTCTAGTCTAGGTTTGTTTTGTTGTTTTTATTCTTCAAGCTTTGTGGTTCCAATTTTTAATACTTAAATAGCTATTTATTTATCTTTTAAAAGGACAGAGTAACAATTGCAAAGCTAAGTTTGTAACTTGATGTTTGGCACTTATATGATTCCTCTCTTTTTTCCTTTCCTTTTAATTACCTTCTTGTATAATACCTTGGGTCTAAATGAAAGTAGAAAATCATACTACAAGTTAGTGATTTTAACACTCTTTAATACGGATTTTTTAGAGCATCTCTAATGAGATGTTAAAAATCTTACGTGGATGTTTTGACAAAAAAAAAAAAAAAGAAGAAGGTGATTTTCTGATTCCAAAGGAGATGCCAAAATCTTACTGGATTGACATCGACATCATCCACTTGCTGCCAAATTTGAAGGCAAAGTCAAATTATATATATTTTTTATTTTAATGATGGCCCACATATTATTTTTTTCACTTATTGGTTATTTTATTAATATAGTCTGACCTACTTGATTTTATAAATAAACGAAAAGTATTTTAATTTGGCATCTCAGCTGGAATACTTTATAAAAATGTTATTTTGCCACATTAATTACAAAAATGAAATTTGGCATCTCTATTGGAGATGGTAGAGATGGTCTTAGATGAGTACGAAAATTCGATTGATGTTCACAGAGTTCAAGAATGGATATTTAATATGGGGTGTGGATTGCTAAAAAAAGAGTGTTAAAACTGTTGTCCAATTGAAAAGATAAATAAATTGTAAAATCATAACTCAATCGATGCTCACAGGGTTCAACAATGAATATTCAATTTGGAGTGTAAATCCGTAAAAGAGAATGCGTATTTTTATTTTCAATCTTTCTCTCCCTCAATCCTTATAATGAATTATATGCTCCTGAGTTTGAATCTCTCCGCCAATCATATGGTGGTTAAAAAATAAAAATAAAAATAAAAAATCCTCATGATGGACCAAAAGGCCTACAACTGATCAAAGCCCAATAAGCCCGTAACTGGTTAGGCCCGGTCAGAGAGAAGTCAAACCCAAACTCGTACTTTGAGAACCAATTTGCCAGAAGCAAATCCAAAGAAGAAGAAGAGCATGTCAGCGATTCAAACAGCGATTCGGAGGTTCCACGCCACCGCAAATGCTCCGAGGCTCACCAGATTCTCCCTCCACGCGCCCAAATGTGTAAGCTTCCAGCTTTTGATCTCCGCCGGTGGTTTTTGTAATTGGATTTGAATCATATTGTTGATGTTTCTGAAAACGGTGTTTTTGAATCTGAAAATTGGTGTTTCGGAATTTTGGTTTGGTTTCAGGTAGAGGTGGAGTTTGGAAATGGAAATGTTTTCAATTTGTCAGCTGAGTTTCTGAGAATCCACAGCCCAGCTGTTGATGCCAAGATTAGGTCAATTGCTGGTGAAAAGGTCATAATTCCCATTTCTCAAATCAATTTTTAAAAGCCCTTTTGTTATCATCACATTGAAAATTTTGTGCACGACTGGTTAACTTGACATGAAACAACGAAAAAATAATAGGTTTTGCATCAACCTATTAATGATCGGGTCATTAACGGACCACCCGTTACAGAGTCGGGTCACATGTTAAGAATCCAATAAGATATCGTTTTTAACTTGACATGAAACAACGAAAAAATAATAGGTTTTGTATCAACCTATTAATGAGTCGGGTCATTAACGGATCACCTGTTAAAGAGTTGAGTCACCCGTTGAGAACCAAATAAGGTATTGTTTTTCAGATCTAGACATTAGATATGATAATTTCTTACATGACTTTTTAGCCGACATGAACTGATACGATCATACGACCCAATTCTTGATGGGTCTTTATTGGATCACCTGTTAACGACCCGTTAAAATAACAGGTTAGACACGACATAACACACACAACAAACACGACCTGTTGGCCAGGACTAATTTCAAGCCACTAATGCAAGGACTCTCTCCACGTAGTATTGTATTAGTAGTCCAAGACACCACAGTGGCGGTGAATCCGTTCCATATAAGTTATTCTATTAGCTCCATATGGTTTAGTGTCCATTCGTCTTCAATTGAATATGTTTACACCATCTTGTTATCTCCACAACTATCGTTGACGTTATTTGGAAGCTTAGTGCTGCGCCAACATGTTGATATTGTAACCTTGTTTTCTACTCATCTGTCGATTAATGCAGGTGATATCTGGGCGGCGTCACGTCGGAATCATGTCTGCGGAACCTGTAGGAAACTATGGGGTAAGGTACTTTTACATTCCGGATATAATGGGGGTTGCAAACAATTTGTATATCGGAAATGTTATGTTGTGACTGGAATGGTGGAGTGAATGTTTCAGGATTGTTTTCGATGACTTACACAACACCGGAATCTATTCGTGGGATTACTTGTATCACTTGGGAAGCAACAAATTCAGCCTCATGAGAAATTATATCAAAACGCTCAACAAGTACGGGCTCAGGCGCGATCCACCTAGAAGAAAATGATTCAGGCTTTTGTTCCCTTGCTCTTGATTTCAAACGATGACCACCAATCAACCTTTCCAGCCTGTCTGTAACCGGAGCATGGCCGGATAATATGGGGCACGGTTTAGTTTCGAGTTCATTGCGTAGACCTAAAGGCTTACGGAGGAGCTGCATTGAACGTCATTGCCATTTATTGTTTGTTTGCTTGCACTGTAATCTAATGCAATTGCAATGTACATGTAAACTAGTTGGCCTGGCTATACGTCGAATCTTTGCGCCAATGTTTGAGCGGATTGAAAACAATTTATTTGTTGAAGAAAAGCATTTTAAGCTTCTTTCTAAGCTTCTCTCTCTCTCTCTCAAACTCTATGAATCTGAGAACGATATCGACATGGCCGAAAACCAAAAGAGAAGGCCCTTGAAAAACACCAAGACGTTCAAGTAAAATGGGGCGAACGAATCATAGGCATTGATGTACAATGAACAGAATCCTTGTAACTTTCGATACATCAAATTTTGCCTTCGCATTGCCAAAAAATGTTGTTCTACGTCTACACTGAAATGATCAAAATTCAAATTACAAAGCAAATGGAAGAGCACAGCTTTTACATTTTGTGACTACGATAGACTGCATAGTATCTCTCTCTTTCTCTGTTGCTTTTCAATGAAAAGCGGTAACTAGGACGGTTTTTTCTTCCTTCCGATTGGCGTGACACGCTTCAGTTCTTGAGTTCCTCTTTTCACTCCCCTGACACAGAAAAAAATATACTTACCGTTGTGAAATCAATAGAAAAGCGGCCAAAGTCTGGCAAAATGAGGAGTACGGATGTAGATACCTGCTGTACATGTAAATGTATGAGTAGAAAAGGAAGAGCAACGCCAGAGTCAGAATGGAAATAACAAGGTAGGATATACTCGCCCTCTTCTGCACATTTGACACATAAAGGAGAGAAACAACGAGGACAAGTTCAACAAAACATCATACGGGCATAACCAAGAAACATCATAACAGGTTCAGGTTTTATAACGAAAAAGATTTAGGATGATTTAGTGTAAGTGTAAACCACCCAAAGTGAACTTTACCTTCCTGCGGCCTCGAGAGAAGGGCTTTTGACGTCCAGTACAAGTGTGGGAATCACAGAATTGGCGCAAGAAGAACTCTGCCGTATTAATCATCAAGAAAGCAATACTATAAGTTGATAATTTTGAAAAATAAGCTTGTTACAGCTTTCTGTTGTTATGATAAATATAGATATAAATTTACCGTGAAGACGGCTTGCTGCTGGACCCTGTTTGACTGGAAAACAACTATCAGCTAGACCCTGCATATAATGGGCAATTTATGAATACAAAGAATGGTGAAATTCAAATGCGAACATCATCAGTCAGATGCCACCTCACACAGATGTCGATTCCGTGCAGCAGCAGCAGGATTGCACTTAGTTTTCTTGGGTGGTACAGAATCCATCTCGAGATCACAATGCAACGCACCACAAACATCTGCCAAGCACCTGGTATGACTCTGATTCAGCAAAGGTATGCCATGTTTCAATTAGAAATGACCAACTTAGGCTAAACAAATCGACAGGCCATGGTTGCCAATGTCCAGTTATAATTTGTAGAAAATTAGCTTAATACAATAAGGTAAGGAGATGAGCTTAAGTGTACGGGTTGATGTAAAACAATCTTTCGGGTCATGCTCTTTCTATTACTCTCTGAAGAGATTAGGCTTGTATTATTCAATGCATGCTAATTTAGTTAATTCCGTGATAACCCTTCACTCTGAAACAAAATATCGTCATAAGTATCGCTACTAGGAAAAGAACATAAAACCAAAGGGCACTTACCACATTCAGCAAATTGTAATGCCTGTTGTCAAAATGCTTATCGAGAAATTTGTCGTCATAAAATCTCTTTTTACAATATCCACATTGCCATTCGTTTAAATCTACTTGGATTTTGTGCTCTTCCTGATCTCTGTACAGATCATTGTCAGGGTGCAGCTTACATGTTCTTGAAATCTGATACCGCTCTTTCTCTACAAAGGGCATCAAGTACTGCACCACCAAGAGCGAGAATGATATCAGTGACCGAACTACTATAAAATGTACTAATCACAAGAGTCTATGCATGATTTTCTTCCATACCTCCCGAATTATTTTCCATGCCGCCTTACTCCTTTCTCTCGAACAATGTACCTCCGGTGGATCTCCCAGCTCTTTCTTTATAGTTCTACACATCAAATTCTGTTATTAGTGATAGACAAAGCTTCGGAATTTCAAAAGGAACACAAATAATATGCAACACCGACTTGAAAAAACTTGTTCCAGTAAGGATTTTAGTTGAATGACACGAAATCGACAACAATTTCCAATTCCCATAAACAATTAGTCCATCTCACAAAGCAGGTTGATTCTCAGGATCGTAAACAAAATTACTAGCTTAATCATAAATGAAAATATACATTCAACATTTTAGCAAGAGTACCTTGTGGCTGCAGAATCCTCATGACCCTGTGAAAAACAAAGAAACAAGCACCAAGTTCAAAAATTGGATTGAGCCCAGATAATATCATCGAAAATTGGATTAACCCATAAAATAATTTCCAGAGATTGAATGCATTACAAGCTGGATTGTTGATATGAGCAACAATGGAGGAAAGCAAAAATAACCGAGAAAAGTTACCTGATTTTTTGTAGAAACACCACCGAATTGCAGAGAAACCGATAAGAACAGGTACAGAAGACCAAGCCATTTCATCTTCCACCACTTCCTCTTCCTCTTCTTCTTCTTCTCTTCTCTCTCTCTCTCTCTCTGTCTCTTGTAATGCTAAGCCGCTGCAGCATTCCACATCTCCGCTCGCTTGCTCCCTCTCTTCCTAATGCAACTTCCTGAGACGACCTCCGACTGCCAGTCCACGCCCCAGTAACCAATCATAACTTGCCGCGTGGAGAACTTCAGCTCCGATTTGGGCTTGGAACACCATTTGTCAATGTTTTGGGCTTCACCCCTACATTTTTCACATATCTTTTTAGTTTTTGGCTTTAAATATTTTACTAAATATATATTGTTACTTAATAAATCGTAAAACAGCTTTCGAATGAAAATTTTGCATTTTTGACAAAAAAACGTGGGTACTCATGGTTTTTAGTCGATTTTGCAAATTCGTACCAAAATCATCGTTCAATATATTTATTTGTACTTTCGACTCACCGTGAAGTTTTAAAAATTAATGTAAAACTTTCCTTTTATATTCTTGAGGGGGGAACCCGTTTTTGACAATGTTTTGGGCCTCATACTACATTTTCACTTATTTTTTTAATTTTCGGCTTAAATACTCTATAATTATACATTTGTTACTAAATAAATCGTAAAACCACTTCCAAATGATGTACATAGTTTTCCTTAATGCTCACAGAAAAAAATTCGCGAAAATAAAAATTTATATTTTTTACAACAAACATGGGTGCCCATGATTTTTAGTCAGTTTTGCAAATTCGTACATAATCACCGATCAATCTATTTATTTTCATGTTTGCTTCACCGTGAAGTTTTGAAAATTAAGGTGAGATTTTCCGTTAAGATTCTTGGGTGTAGAACCCATTTGACAATGTTATGGGCCTCAATACTATATTTTTCGCCTATTTTTTTAGTTTTCGGCTTAAATATTTTACTAAATAGACATTTGTTGCTCAATAAATTGTAAAACTGCTTCCAAATTCCTCATAAAGTTTTCCATAATGCTCGTGGAAAATATTTCACGAAAATGAAAAATTTACATTTTTGACATAAAACGTGCACAGTTTCATTTTAGTGCAATGACACGCCCCAACCTGGAAAGGTCGAAGCATGTTGGCCGTCATCGTGAGGTGACGTAACCATAAGGGTAAGTGATGCAAAAAGTGAATAAAATTAAAACTAATTAGAACTAAACATTGAAAGAGTGCGTAATTCGTGGGTTGAACCCACTACAATTATTCAGAGCGTAATAGACAAGGAGATTACGAAAGAGTAGTCAAAGCAACCAAAGTACACTTATTACATAATAATGATAAGTTCGTACGTCTAAACAGAAGGAAATGTCAGAATTTTCGTGATTCCTCGAGTGCCACAGAGAGTACAGCTATTTAGGTCCTGGAGGGGCGAAAAACAAAGTTGACTGGGTCAGCAAAACAATGCTTATAATGAAAACCTTTATCTTTGAATATACTAACCCTTCGCCGTAAAACAAGTATAGTTTCCTCAAAACATACTACGTAAGTATGAAATCCAATATATAAGCCATATAACCAAAAATATGCCAAGTAAATGATGTATCATATGCCACAATAATTATCATGTGATAATTAATATAACTAAGTGCTCATCCATCTAAGCTGGCACAAAAGTTCGAACAAATGGTTTCTGACACGAACAGGACTGGGTGTAATCAATATGCTCTAGTACTACGATCACGTGAAGATTGGTGCAAAAGCACGTCACATACAAGTCGGATCGCCTAATGCAATCTACCCGACAAGACTGGCACCTAAACTTGGATCCAAGGTGAGCGAATGGTACGTATGTGAACATACACGTGAAGGACTGGCCCTGGCCCTGCGGCGAGTACTAACACCGGGTGCAACAAGATGAGCATGTACACAAGTACGTATGAATGCCATGACAGTAATATCACAACCATATAGCAGCATTTATCACAATTTATATCACAATAATGATACTAGGCAATATAGGCGTAAAAGTGAAGTAAATACGCATTTATGGAAACTATAAATATATATATAGGTATAAAACAACTGCCCACTCACAAGTACGTCGCTAGGTCGTAGCCCTCGAGCCTAACTTGGCCTCGAAAATCCTCGTAATAAGTTTCCCCTATATGTGAAATAACTAAATAACATTAATTAAAGCACATAACGGAAACCTAAATAAAACCCTCATAGTTTGCTCAAACCTAGGGTATAAATATATGAAATCGATCTACTCGACAACACGAACACACACGTGTCAACCGCACACCGGGCAGAGGCCGGACGCGCCCCCACGTGCCACCTAAAGATCTGTTCACGCGCGCCTACGCGTCCCCACGAGTACACTGTACTTGCCTTCTTCGCGAAAATCTGCAGTTTTGTAGATTTTTGGGCCAACTTCTAGAGCCCTTAACGAGCTTGATTATCAACCAAATTTACTTCTACAAAAGCCAAATTAAAGCTAGGAATGTGATCTACCGATCCCAATTTACAGAAAGTTCGGATATGGTATGAGTTAATCGAAAATTTGGCCTAAATGTGGCCAAACGACCACGGTTACAAATTTTCCAGAAACTGAAATTTTCTTCCTAACTTCCAGAGTTGATTTCTAACTCGTTACTTAACCAAACTCAGTGATTCAAAAGCCATTTTGAAGTTAGGAATGTAGAGAACAAGTTTGTACTTAGAAGAAGTCCAGTTGTGGTCGAGGTTGACCAGAAAAACGGTTTGAAAGTGACCAAATGGCCACGGTTCTTGAGTGAAAAATGATAGGTTCTCCTTCTTCTCGAGTTTCTGGGTAAAATACACACGTTCAAAACACAAACAAAAGATCAATAACAACCCATAGAAGTGAAATGAAGGTTCTAAGGGTTTCTCAAGGCTTACCTAAGCCATGCATGGCCTGAAAATCGATATGTCGAACTCGCCGAGTCGACCTTCCGAGTTGATGAGTCAAAACTCGTCCACACCAAATTTCAAGGACATGGTTGTGATCGTGGGACTGAGATGAGCATGATGATGTAGTTTGTTTGTTCGATCTACAAGCTTTGGAGCTCGCTCATGGAGTTGCAGAAGAAGATAAAGTTCACGGGAGAGAGAGAAAGAAGAGAGTGAGGTTTTGAAATTTTCTTTGCTTTTTTTTTTTTGATAGAGGGAGGGACGGAACATACAGAAAAGATGGGATAGGTGAGACTGAATGATGAAGGAAGGGTGCACGGGTAGGATTTAAAAAGGAATCCAAGTATAGGTTTTTAAATTTCCTATAGTAAAAACAGGAAATTGAAATCTATCCGAAGTAGATATTTTACACTTTAAAATTTACGCATACTCGTACTAACGTGTACAATTTAAATGCGATAGCGAGAAATAAAAAGAAAAGCGATAAGAATAAGTCCACGTTACTTGCCGATAAGGGCATAATCGTCAATACACATACTCGAGGAGAAATTACATAGGAAAAATAGGGACGGGTCGTCACATGCAAAATCTATTATAATTCGTATTTAAACACTTTTAATCAACGATTTAGCACTTGAATTTAAAGGTATTTGAACTTTTTTTTTGTTAATTTTTCTTTTAACAAAATATGAACTAAATATTAACAAACCCTCTTTGTCAACCAAAAGAGGGTGAAAGATTATTTAACAAAACAAAATCTTGCTATTTTTTGTTTAAGCCCCACCTACATATGATTTTAATGTCTCTAATTAAAAAATAAATTAAATATATATTTTAACATCTATATTTTTCACTTATTTTATTACTTTTGGGCTTAAACCTGCTTCCAAATACATTATAAAGATTTCCTTAATGCTCACGGAAAATATTTCGAGAAAATAAAAAAATTTGCATTTTTTATAAAATAAAATATGGATTAACACTCATGGTTTGAAAATTCGTACATAAATCACCGTTCAATCTTTTTATTTTCCCTTTCGCCTCATTGTGGAGTTTTGAAGATTAATGTGAGAGTTGAGATCCTTGAGTGTATAACCCCATTTGACAATGTTATGGGCCCCACTACTATACTTTTCACTTATTTTTGTAGTTTTCGGCTTAAATATTCTACTAAATATACATTTGTTCCTCAATAAACCGTCAAAATTGCTTTCGACTTCTTTAAAAAGTTTAACTTAATGCTCATGAAAAATATTTTGCAAAAATAAAAAACTTGCATTTGTGTCAAAAAAACATGGATGTCAGGCGGGCTTGACGCACACAAAACGAGACGGACTCAGCTCATGCAGAACGAGGCAAGCCACGGTAGGCAAAACAAGGCAACCTCTGCTCACACAAAATAGGCGGGCTTCTGGCACGCAAAACGAAGAGTAATACATCTCACGAAAAACGAGGCAGGATACGTCACACAAATCGAGGCCAACCATGCGCACGAAGAACAAGACTGCATCTGTACACGCCAAAATGATGCAAGCCCATGAACACAAAAAGGGGCGGGCTTCTAGTATGCAAAACGAGGCGAATCAAGGCACACAAGACGAGGTGAGCTCTGTGCACGCAGAACGAGGCGAATTCATGGGTGCTTTGAAAACGAGTCGGGCTCCATGCATGAATAAATATATTTTGGAGAACATGAATATGATGTTTGTTGTAGTGGGAAGAGAAATAAAAGAAAAGTTAACAAAAATGTATAAAAATAGTTCAAATTCTTGAGGTGCCATAAAGTCACGCATGACTTTCTGGCACCCTCAAGAATTTAGAACATTTTTATACATTTTTGTTAATTTTACTTTTATTTCTCTTACCATAACAACAAACAATCATATTCACGTTCTTAAAAATATATTTTTTTCTTACAAAATCTATTATAATTCCTATTTAAACACTTGTAATTAACGATTTAACACATGAATTTAAAGGTATTTGAACTTTATTTTTTGTTAATTCTTCTAACAAAATCTGAACTACATATTAACAGAATCCTCTTTGTAAACCAAAAGAGGGTGAAAAATTATTTAACAAAACAAAATTTTGCTATTTTTTATGTCTCATCTACAGGAGATTTTATTGAAATTACACTTGTTGCTCAATAAATCGTAAACTTACTTCCAAATACATTATAAAGATTTCCTTAATGCTCACGAAAAATATTTCGAGAAAATAAAAAATTTGCATTTTTTTACAAAA